TATGTAGGACTCACCTCATGTGAGACATTTAGTAAAATATCTGGTAGAAATTTTGGTATCCGTAACATAATTACTCAAATAAACATTACTAATGCCTGGAGCCTCAACAAATCGAGGCTCGAATGCCTCGAATTGTTTTTTTTTTTTTTCCTTTTCCATTTGTTGGGCTATGTTGGTTTGGTTTTTTTTTTTTAATAGAAGGGTTATATGTAGGGATGTGCCAAAAAAATAGACATCTCGCGCCAACTCAGTCTATATGGTTTGATAAGGTGAATGAGTTTGGTTGAACTGGTTGGGTGATAAAATTGACTAATCAGTTAGGATGCTGGTTAAAATTTATTAATTTTATATAATTTTGTACGAGTTCTTACTATATTTTTATTCAAATCAGGAAGATTCGAAGGAAATTGAAATGTTTTGGTATTGTGTATGCAGACGAAAAAAAAATGGCTTTGCCTCTGCATATACAATACCAAAGCTATTTCAATTTCCTCCGAGTTTTCTTGATTTGAAATAAAAATATAGCGAGACTCGTACAAAATTATATAAAATTAATAAATTTTAATCAGCAGCCTAACTGATCGGTCAATTTTATTACTCAACCAATCCAACTCAATTCACTCACCCACCTTATCAAACTATACAATTTGAGTTAGTGTTGAATATCTAATTTTTTAATGCACCCCTATATGTAATCACCCTTCCACAAAAACCAACCAAAAAAAAAAAAAAACAATTCAAGGGCATTTGAGCCACGATTTGTCCAGCCCCTAGCACTACTCACATAACCTTCGAAGGATAAGAGAGAGAAGAGAGAAAGGACATTTGTATTTAATTTGATAATAATAGTCTCTCCGTTTTAAAATAATTATTTTTTTTAGGGAATTTAATTTTTTTGATAGTATAATTATTGTGCTTTAAAAAAATTAAATTTTTAAAATTACTTTTTGATAGTATATTTTTTGAAAATATAATGTTATAATTATACTTTTTATGTTATTAATGAATTTAAAATAAGGACAAAACAGAAAATTTATATTATTTTTACACTTAATTTTTAAAAATAAATTAATATTTTAAGATAATAAAAAATAAAATAAAAAACTAATATTTGGAGACAGATGGAGTATTATTTTTGAGTAGCTCGAGGGAAGCCGTTGCATGAAAAAGTCGTAGTTGAGAAGGGCCCACTTGCTGTAATAAAGAAGGCTTTACATAAAAATTACTAATTGTAGGGTCCATTTGTCCCCTCCTCCAAAATAAATAAAATAAAATAAAAAATAAATTATAATATAGTACAAAAGATAAATTTAATTTAATTTTTTTTAATCTTTCTTCACTTTTATTTTTGACATAATTACTTACTATGTTTTAGAAAAATTAAATTAATTTAAATCGTGAGAAAATATAAAAATAAATAATATATATTTCCGTATTAAACAAATGAGAATATCATATTTTTTTTGATATAACTAATAAATAATTAATGAAAATATAACCAAATATTATTTAAATTAAAATATCAAATGAATTTAATATAATTATATCAAAACTGTGAGATTTAATGAATTTTTTCTAAATTTCAAAGGAGATCATTGTAGTTTATTATCTCTATTTATTTATTCTATCATATATGTGAAGTTTTAAGATAGTGTTGACAAACAAGATGCTTCATTTCTTTATTTTTCTAAAATACCCTTGTAGTTTAGAAATCTGGACTTTCAGTTTAAGAAATATCTTTATCATTTAGGCAACACAACATGTATACTTTTAAATTAAAATTTATACTTTTAAATCTGGACTTTGTTTGAAGTGTGCTATATAAGCATAATTTTTTTATCTATTTATCTTTTTTGGACTATATCACATCTCTATTTTCTGTACATCTTTTCGTAAAAAATCAAAAATTGCACTTATTTAGATAATTCATCTCAGATTTGGGATAAGAATGAAATATATGGTAGAGATTGAAAGTATATATTGTGAGGTCTATTGATTTTTTTAGAAATTGACTATTTTAGTTGATTTTTCAACTTTTTAAGAAAAAATGTATTAAAAAAATAAGGATAAATTTCAAATATACCTCTTGAGATTTGATTAAATTACGAATCATTCCCTGTGATTTTAAAAATTACATCCCACCCCCTAAGATTTCTAATTTCATAACAAATTGTTCATTTTATTAATAAATCATCAAGTCAATTAATAGTTTTTAATAATGTTAAAAATATGTTTCAATTAATAATTTAAGTAATTTTATTATTGTATAGGAGAGTAATTATGAATTTTATTTTTTAAGTTGATTCTGTTAAATAAAAAATTTTAATAAGAAGGTATTTATAATTTTTTAAATCACAGAAAGGCAATCTGTATTTTAAGCAAGCCTCATGAAATATATTTGTAATTTATCCAAAAAATAAAGAGAATAGTTAACTTTTTTATAGTAATTTTTTTTTTGACTATTTTTCCACTTTCCAAACCACCCTTATATACAAAAATGCATTTGAACCACACATGAATTTTTCTAAATAATTTCTAGGTAGAATTTTATAGGTTTGTAGTATTACTTTATGTATATCCAAGCAGTAATAGAAGCATACTACAAAGGCAGGTGTGGTAGACAATGAATGAGAGAGAGAGAGAGAGAGAGAGAGTGAGTGAAATGATTTAGCAATCCATTGGATTATGATTGACGCCTCGATGAACCAACTGCCCACTGGGCCAGTGTGTGTGTGTGTGACCCACAAACTGACCTACTGCTATTGCTTCTGTTTAATGTATTTTCTCTCTAATGCATATGCTTTGATAAAAGTATTATTTTCATGTCTTTAATCATATTAAACCCTAACTATTTTAATAAAAAGACAAATTAATCTAAAAATTCATGAGAATAAAACATAAATATTCAACCAAAAATATATACTAACACAAATGAGAAAAAATACATAAAAAGTCCATTTTTAACTTGTAGAGCAAACAAATGCTTTCTGTTTAATGTATTTTCTCTCTAATGCATATGCTTTGATAAAAGTATTATTTTCATGTCTTTAATCATATTAAACCCTAACTATTTTAATAAAAAGACAAATTAATCTAAAAATTCATGAGAATAAAACATAAATATTCAACCAAAAATAGATACTAACACAAGAGAAAAAATACATAAAAAGTCCACTTTTAACTTGTAGAGGAAACAAATGCTTGGTTTCTTAGGTTCTTACTATTTTTTTTTTTAATACCATATGATAAGATGTTAGGAGTAAATTAAATTACAACAAAAAGATCGTAGTCGTTCTATTGACTCGAACATTGAACCCATGACATTCTCACTACATGGTTTTTTCATTCATTGAGAATTGTAGCATTTTTCTCGTTTTTATAATGCTTTCCTTTTCCCAACAATTTATCTACATATATATCGCTCACTTAAATGTGTGTCTTCTGATGGGATGAGAAGAGAGTTACAGGGAGGTCTCTGATTGAGACCATACGGGCCCCTCTAATAAGGGCTGTCCATATCTGTCACCTTGCATTCAAGGCGACCTTCTCCCCACATTTTCCTTCAAAAATATTTAACCATTTTACTGTTTCAGGTCCCATGCTCAATCAAAATACATATTTCAAAGCCATATAGTTGTGTCTATTCAAGCTCATCTCAAATTTGAATACATTTTATGACTTTTTAAGATTTTAAGTCAAGTTTGAACAATTTTTATTACTCAGCTCAGCTCAATCATATACATTATAAAAGATACTTGGACTCTGCACGTGATTTGGTTCACTTGAGAACTCAAAAGATAATAACTAAATTATCACAACAAAAAAAAAATTCAATACATTTTCAACTTTCATCGAGTTTTCGAGCCAAAGTTTAAACTACATACAATTCAAATCGTTTGAAACCCTGTATAGTAGCCATCCAGCTTGTCAAAACCGAATGGCCCAAACTAGTCCTCCACATCATGGTAGATGGTTTTGATGATCCATGTGGCAGATGCATTTTTCTATATCTGCTCAAGTTCAGTCAGGTGGCGGGTGGGAGGCCACCTGACCCAACCTAACCCCCAACACACCTAAGAAAATAATGTTAAGCTTTTTATAATGTGTCAAAAATATATACATTTTGTACTTAGTAATTATATTTGCTATTTACGAAATAAAAAAATTAGGCATTTGTTTTTATTATAAACGTTGAAAAATAAAATAATTTGGGCCAAAATAAGGACCAAAATAGTAGTGAAATACTTGAAAACAGTTTGACAAAAAGCCAAAAACAGTGAAGCCCAAACAACCAAACTGATCAACATCCACCCACCAATTTGCATGGCCTGCTCAAACAATATCTGCTAACTAAGCAAACAGATGCGAATTGATTTTTCCTAATCTGCCTAAGTTCTTCAAACATATAGCGGATAAGAGACCACCCAACCCGACCCGATCCGATTCGCGAGCACCCCTACTATATAGGGACAGACTATATAATGAGGCTCATGGTGCCTCGCACTTGAACAAGCGCATCGTCTATCCCAATGCATACCAACTGTAAGATAATATTTTCAAATTTCTAAACCTAAAAATTTCCCCATGACATACAACTGACAGTGCATTAGGGTAAAAGGGTCTAAGAATTTAGCTACAAAATATAAGGAATACCAATAGAGTATGGACATTTCTACAAGACTACATGCGCGGAAAAGCAAAATTCGTAGAAACCCATTTGGCAGGCCCAGAGTGCGTCCAGCATGGAAAAATATTCTTAAACCAGTAGCAAGATAAGTTTTCTTCCTAACAAAAACACATCTGATTACTCATCCAGAAGTGCTTGCAAACCTCAGATTGAACACAGGCCAAATAACTATACTCATCAGGAAACCGCTAAGACTCATATTTCAATAAATATCTACATGGTGTAAGGTTTCAAGTCAGTAAGGCTGTAGCAGTTGTAAATCCAAAATGAGCTCAGCTAATTAATCATGTATCAGTTCAATAAGCCAGAGGGATAAACTGAAATCAGGAATCAATAAGAGAAGAAAACTTCAATGAGTTTAACATAGTACTTCAAACCTAAAGCTATTCAACAGTTAAACTAAATATTCACATGTTCATGTTGACACATTTATACCACAAAAGCATCAAATACGTTGTCACCAAATATATGAAACTCCGCAGTCCTTAAAAGAGCCTAACAGACCACACCCAAAAAAAAAAACAATAGGTGTGTGGTCATTTAGAGGCCATCTGAACTTCCTAGCTCTTGTTTAGGTGCAACCAATTCACTCTTGAAATTTGACATTACCTGCAAATAGGATCACAAAGACCAGCATTAACGAACCAAAACATGAGACTCCTCAATCCATGACAGAACTCAGACCACATAGGTTCCCGAGTTCAATACCTATTATACATCAACTCCCCTAAATGTAAGAAATATCCGTGTCAGACCTTAGACACTTGGGTAAATGTGTAGTTTTGTGTTCACCCAGCAAGCATATTTAGTAACAGTGTCTCCAACAGAACTTGCATACATAGCCAGACCCAACAGTCGTACCCAAATCCATGTAACATAGTTCAACACTCATCAACACATAATCCTCATACAGGAGTATGACACAACTGTCAACAGCATGCAAAACATGTTTTTGCTAATGACTTAATGTCATGATGTCATGATATGTAGGTGTCAAAAGCACATGAAAAAAGAGAGAAGTCGACAAAATAGATTAAACAAGTGACTGTTGATGGGTCCAACCAAGGTAGAAAACCAACCTAAATCTAAAGACAATTCTGATTTGATTATAGTCAGATCAAACTGGAATCCATGTAAATTTGATCCTACTGAGATACTAAATTACTAAAATTTGTGATCCATTTTTATGAAAATAATTCATTTTACTTGTACCATATACAAAATAAAATACCAGTCTATCTATCAAAACTAAATTTCTTAGGGTCTTTTGGTAACCATTTTGTTTTTAGTTTTTTTGTTTATATTTACAAAAATTTTAAAAACTAGCATAAAAACTTGTTTGGTAATTTTTTTGGTTTATAAATAGTTAGTCCCAGTTCATAAATAAGGCTGAAAAACATAAACACAAAAAAGATGTTTCTGTTTTTTAAAAAACCAGTTTTTTTTTTTTTTTTAACTTTGTGTATTTATTGTTGTTGAAGAATCAAATTGGTGTTCAAATTATACAATGGCATGGAATTTGTGTCCCAAAATGAGTAGAAGCTTTACAATTAAACTATAATTGTCATTCCTATTTATGTATAACACTATTATCTATGGTTGGTACTCTACTAATATATTTATATTTTGGATGTTTATTATAATTTTATGATTAGTATGACTTTCATTGTCATACTATAATTTTATAATTTTTGATGTTTATTATGATTAGTAGAAGCTTTACAATTAAACTATAATTGTGATTCCTATTTATGTATAACACTATTATCTATGGTTGGTACTCTACTAATATATTTATATTTTGGATGTTTATTATAATTTTATGATTAGTATGACTTTCATTGTCATAAATAATTAAAAAACAAAAAAAACATTTTTTGCATTAATATTAACAATCATGTTTTTGAGTTTTTGTATTTAAAATTTTTAAAATATTTTGTTCAATCACTTATGATCCGTGGATTGGAATGTAAACCCCAAAATGAACAATTAGACTTGAAATCAAACTTTACCTGATCCATGCCAAATGCACAATAAGATTTCATATCAAACTTTACCTGATCCATGCCAAATCCAACCTTTACAGTGCCTTGCTTGCCATCATTTCCAAATGGAGTTTTGTTGTTTTCCTGACAAGAATCATGCATCAAAACAATTACCCCACTGCATTAAAAATAACAAAAACAAGAAGGTTAACACCCTAATGTCAGTCTATGCAGTCAGTACAGTTTGAATAATCAATGTGTGACTAGTATCTTTCACCAACAAGAAGTTGTATAATATATCAGTACAGTAATGGCAATAATAATAATAATAAAGGAAAGAAATAGAGAAAAAAAAATGTTTAATTCAACCAAAAATTACAATTGCAAATATTGCAAGCTAGCAAAAGCAATAAAATGGATTCTCAACTGTAAATGCCTGGAGAATTCCGCACTAACCGCAGAATCCTGATAAGGTCAGATCACTTGATCCCAGTTCATACATGATGAATTGAGAGCAGCTTTCTAATCAATACATATTTACATAATAAAGCCACCTTCAAGCATAGCATAGCAGGATGTCAAGCCATTAAAAGCAGCAAACTATTAAAACCTGTTTGCAGATTCTTGTGTAGTGTTTTATATTTTCTTACTAGCAAGTAGGGCTGCAAACAAGCCGAGCCGAGCCGAGCCGAGCTTTAGTATATTTGGGCTTGTTTATTAAAATTTTAACAAGTTTGAGCTCGAGGCCAATAAAAATTTAACTAACCGAGCTCAAGCCAAGTTGGCTTAAACTTGACTCAAGCTCGAACCTGTTCACAAGCCTTAACGAGCCAAAAAAAATTATAAATTCATACTTGCGTATAAGACTAAAGTTACAATTGAAATTTTGATTATACTATTATATTGTATCTATAATATATATATATATATATATTAACATTCTAACAAAAAAGTCAATATTTTACCAAAATAATAATATCTACCATCACTATTATATAAATGTATTATTTATAGTTAGCTATTATTTACATTTACATTTTTTAAATATATAAATAAAATATTTATCTTATTTTTATACATATTTTTACATTATTTAATCTAATATATAAATAATATATTTATTTTATTTTAAATAAATATTAAACGAGCCTAACTAACGAGTTGAGCTTTAATATGTTTAGGCTTGTTTATTAAGATTTTAACAAGCTCGAGCTCGAACGCAATAAAAATTTAACGAATCGAGTTCGAATGAACCCTTACTGAGCCGAGCTTGAGTCTGTTCACGAATGGCTCTGTTCATTTACAACCCTACCTATAAGAGACTTGCCATTATTAACCGCAGGCAAATCTCTTACAAGTAAGAAATAGAATTTTATCACTAAATCCTACTCTCTAAAGAACCTGTTTTGTACTAGCACTTGGTAATGGTCATTCTTTATCTTATACATGTTTTGCATTCCAGTCAAAAGTGAGACATGGGAAGGAGGTTGATGGGGAAAAAGATCACGATGCACGCAAATATATACACAGAGACACTTGCATGAACAGCCGTGCAAAAATGCCTGCTTTGCATGTCAAGTGAAAGGAAGAGTAAGAAAGGATCTAAGAAACACATCAAAGGGACATAGTATGACCATTTGACCAGATAGTATAATACAAGAGAACAAAACTGTAAGTTCATTACCACCTCGATGCTGGGAAAGTATACCAGAAGCACATCAATCTTTGATACACCAGGAAGGGTACTATATCATAGCCACCACCATCACATCCACACCAGACTTAAGTCCCCACTCATGCATAAATGCCAACCAACATGTCCAGTTCCAGAACCAACATCAACACCAACCCAATTGAAGCATCTCATTCACCACTAGCTTCATGATTAACAAACCACCCCATCTAGGGCTGCACATGGGTCGGATCGGATCGGGTTGACCTATCAACTAGTAACCGACTGAACATATTCGGATTGAGTGTTTTAATATCCGATTTCAACCGAATGATGGTTCGAAACCGTCCGTTCATAGGAATCGGATTGACAGTCGAATTCAATCGGTTTCACAGGTTGGGCTGTGATAGTTGGGCCAAACCATAACTGGGCCTTCACCATTAGCAATTTTATTATGAAAATAGACATTTTTTATGATTTTTAATTTATTACCAAGTTAAAATATTAGTAATTTTAAAAATAGACAATTTTACAATTGAAAATATAATTAGCAAAAAATATTAAATGTATAACTTTACAATTCTAAAAAACTATCATAATAAAAAAAATTATTTGTTAACCAAACAAACAAAAACAATAAATTCCACACAATAAAAAAATTAAAAAAAACACACATGAGCATTCAGATTTTTTACATTTAGCTTCTTTTAAACAAAAACAATGACTTAAAACAAGGGTTTTTGTTCATAAAAAAAAAATCCATGTAGGGTTTATGTTAGTCTGCAAAAAATTAAAAATATATATATATATTAAATCTAGTGCATTTTTTAAAACAAAATTTAAAAATACAAAATCCACGTAGGATTTCAGTTATTTAATAAAAAATTAATCATAAACACAATATCAATCAAGAGTTGTAATTAATCAAAAACATTATAAACAAATAAACTAATAAATTCATACCTACGGTTTTGGTTAGTAAGAGAGCACCACCACCAGCATCGGAGCTTCTAATTTGAAGGATAGATGAACACCTCACAAAGTATCAGAGAGAGAGAGAGAGAGAGATTGGAAAGAGATGGAATTTGAAAATGGGTAAATCATAGACATAAAAAGACATCTAATATAGAGGGAATGTGGGTTTACGTTACACACAGAGAGAGATTAGAGAGAGAGAGAGAGAAATATGGGGAAGAGAGAAATATAGGGAAAAGGAGAGGAAATGAAGGTCTGCTGGACAACTTTTTTTTGCTTTGATAGTTGAATACATGTCATCATATTAGAAAGCTTCTTGGGGAAGCTTTGCACTTCTCCCAAAAATAAAACAATTATACAAATATATATTAAAAATATAGGAGCTGCCTGCTTATGTTGAAGAATTCGGTCGGGTCGGTTTCGACCGCAATAATTTATATAAAACCATTGCCGACCGTGAAACCACAAAATTCAGCCAAACTAAACCGCAGCCGACCGGTTGAATATTCAAAACCGTCCATTTTAATTCCGTTCGGGTCGGTCCGGGCGGGTGGGTCGGTTTCCGATTTTCCATGAACACCCCTAACCCCATCAATGCCACCATCTCATCCACCACTAATACTGACACAAGTCACACAATTGACCAACACACAACACCAATCATGTGAAAAAGTAAACACATCATGCATAATGCCATCTCCATTCAACAATCCAAATTTGACAGAAGACTCTTGGGACTGGACACTTGGCAATTTACTGAATATAGTTGTAGTTATTTTTTAGTACGATATGAAATATTGTCGCGATAATTATTATTTTCAGTCCCATAATTTCAAGAATAATACTCAAATTCAAATGTGAGACCATTCTTAAAAATTCTAAGAATTAAATTTAGTTTCAAGATTTTGCTGAGCCTATAGATATGGCCCTTTTTTCTTTTTCTTTTTCTTTTTTTTTTTTGGTCGGACAAAGTCAGTTGCTAGATTAGCACCAATGGGAGTTAGCCTCCCCACCCTTGCAAAGTACCAAGTGCTTGCCTCCTAATTCAACTCCCTCTTGGGGAGAGTTGAACCCATGACCTCCCCCTTCAAAGAGTCATGGTGGCCAACTAGGCTAGGCTTAGTTGGTTATATGGCCCAATGGCAAATAACCAGTACCAAGCTTTAAATAAGAACTGTCAACACAAATAATCATAAATTTTTATATTTTAAATCAAAGAAATAGTATTACAAAAAAAAAAAAAAAAAAAAAGAATTAAGCAAGAAGAGAGATAAGAAAAAACAAAGACAAGGAGCCTATCAAAAAGAAAATGTAAAGAGAAAATTACAAATCACAAAAGGCTCTCCAATTCTCATGAAATCAAAAACAAGAGCATTCCCTTAAACAAAGGTGTCATTGAAGCCCAAAAGGAAAATAAATAACAAATTTTATCCAATAGATCATCTACATTCTCAACCTTATCCTGAAATTCTATCATGTCTCTCCAACCACCACAATAACCAAAGCATAAGAACATAAGAGGCTAGACTAACCAATCCATCTACACCGAGACAACTTATACCATAATGCCAAGCTACCAACCAATGCAGAAACAAGTGGCCGCTCACCTCATGGAACCGACACATGACACACCCAATGGCAGAGCCAAGATTTTCCCTTTGACGGGGAAACATTGAATTGAAACCTTAGCACAATTTATTACAATCCAACTTAACCAAATTTTTATTTAGTTGCAAGACAACTTAAGATCAGTGTAATTCCAAAATTATATGTTAAAATTATGCTCAAGTTTATGTTTTTTTGGTTCTTTTTTGGTTGTTCATTCAATTTCAGTTTAGTTCCTGAACATGATGATCATGATGATCTAAAATGTTATCATATGCTCCATAAAAGATGAAAATGAAATTACATGAAGATGCAAACACACACACACACACAAAGAGATAGAAAGGGGTAGAGAAAGAAATGAGAGAGGAGAGAGGAATAATATATAATTTATACAAGAAAATTTTAGACAAAAAAACATTTAAAGTGGTGAATTACGGAGATTTTGTTGAAAAGAGACCTTTTCTTGACAGTTGGAAGTTTCTAGAACTTATTTAACATAATAAATCAGTAATCTTTGAAAAAGGGGCATTCTTGAAGCATAACAACGTATTTTTCAAAAACTTGAGGAGGGGTACGAGACCATGCAAATTGTATGAGACCATGCACAAATGTTAAACTTAAAAAGCACTGCATGTACTCCAAATCATTTTATGAGGTGCAAAGAAATGAACATTTAGATTATCAATGCTTTTATGACAGACAACTTACACGAAAACAAGCCAAAAGAATGAATTGTCCACATCCTATTATTAAAAGATCGATAATGCAATCAAACATTGTCAAAAATAGATAATAACGAAGCAAATTCATTGGTCTTCTGCACATTAAAACTTCTAAAAAAACAATTGATATCCTAAAAAATTGGAGCCACATACGAAGAATAAATGTAAGCAATGGACACATTATACCAGACCAAACTGAACCAAATCCTGCGACCCACACAAGTGGGGTCCTCTACACCAGTGCTTTAAAAGGCACGCACTTAGGTGCAAGGCGCAGTTGAGGCGCCTCAAACAGCTTGAAGCGAGTTGTTATAGAAAAGGCTTCTAAGGCGCACACCTTAGGCTGAGGCACAAGGCACACGCCTCATGACCTTAAAATAAATTTTTGCCCCATCCTTATTCTTTGTGTGTGTGGCCAAAGGGAATCACTGCCCCTTATGTAAACACATGCTTTGAGGCCCAATTTTCATGTCAAAAAATGCCCTAGGCATTGAGCAAAAACTTTGGGATTACAACATGGTTATATGACTTTAGGATTTCTTTCAATGTAATGAATTATGACAATTTCAGACCAATGATTGAAGCTATCAAGCAATTTGGTTTTGGTTTAAAATCAAACCACCAAGTTACTATATGATGCGAGTTTCTTGTCTAAAAAAATAAGTGAATGATATCAATAAATAGATGAAGGAAGACAGATAGTATTGAGTATGTAACTCAAGTTGGTTAGTTTCTATCCTCCTTGAGTTTGCGGGGGGCTATTAAAATATATCATCACCTACCACCTCCACTCAACTCACCTACCACACACACTCACCTACTCCCCAATCCTCTCCTATATAATGAGTACCTCACCATCTGTAATTTACACATCAATCAGAAATCAATCAATAATATATCATTTTTAACAGGGTAAAGTAATATTGAATGTTATTTTTTAGAAGTTTATTGAATGTTGAATGTTATTTTTATGGTTTTTTTTTTTTTTATAAATGTTATTTTTATAGTTTTTAGAATATTAAATGTTGTTCTATACTCTTTGAAATTCTAGAAATATTTGCTTATGTTGAAAACTTTGCCTATATCAAAAATTTTCTTATCTTCTACGACTTGCACCTCACGCTTAGGCTCCAAGAGACCTTAGCGCATCAATGTGCCTAGAACTTTTTAAAACATTGCTCTACACAAATCCTTTTTTCACCATTTTGCTCTATCAAGGGCTATATGCTTAGCTAAATATAATAATTATATATCTTATTACATTTGCATCCTATGTCAATTTAGGTCTTCCCCTCCCCCTAACAATTCGATTTATAGAATGGAGACATTATGCAAAATAAAAAAGACATATAGTCCTTGATAGAAAAGACAGTACAAATGGGTATCGTAGAAAGAAAACCGGACCAAGCCCTCTTCCGCCCCTCCAATCTTTTATTGATCTTCTCAATTACAAAGCTCAAAGCTTATCCACCTCAACATTGTCCCTCTTTTATTGATCTTCTCAATTACAAAGCTCAAAGCTTATCCACCTCAACATTGTCCCTTAAAGTAAGTCCCAAATCCTTCATTGGCAAGGACTCAATTGGACACCATACCAACCCGGACAATCTTTATAAAACATTATGTGAAAAATTAATACCAACTGAAGCACTTTTAATAAAATTTACCTTAAGCCCTAAAATCATTCGAAACTACTCAAAACATACAACAAATTAGCCAATTTCTCTTCTTCACTAGAAGAAAAAAATGGTATCATCTACATTTTGTAAATGAGATACAAAAACTATCCCTTCCCACTTCAAATCTGTCCACTAAACCTGCCTCCTTTGCTCAATCCACCATCGTGCCCAAACATCAACAACTGGAGTGAATAGAAAAGAAGAATGCGGGTCTCCCTGCCTAAGACCCCTCATGGCTTTAAAAATATCATCAGTCTTACCTTTAACTATAACTGATAAATTACAAGAGGATAGTCAACAAACAACCTTGAATCCATTTTTTTCAAACAAAATCCAAAAAGCCCCATTTCACATAATCATATGTTTTTTCAAAATCAACCTTAAAAATAACTCATTCCTCATAGAAACTTCTATGATCCTCTACTAGCACATTAGCTATCAAAGCTACATTTAAAATTTGACAACCCTCAACAAAGGTACACCTTGACAGGAAGAGATAGTGTCCCAAAAAAATACTCTCAACCTCAATGATAAAGCTTTAGCTAAAATTTTATACAAGTGGCTGAACTAATGGAACGGAAATAATTAATATTAATGTACTTATTCCAAAGACCCCTCGTGGCTTTACAACTATAGTCCGTCTTACCATTAATTATAATTTATAACCAATAAATTACAAGAGGATATAATCGACAAACAACCCTGAATCCATTTTGTTCATCTTTCTCCATTTCTTTGTTTTCAAACAAAGTCCAAAAAACTCCATTCTACATAATCATATATTTTTTTCCAAAACTCACGTTAAAAATAACTCCATCATTATAAATATTCTATAATCTTCCACTACCTCAATAGCTATCAAAGCTACATCTAAAATCCGATTACCCTCAACAAAGGTACCTTAACAGGAAGAGAGAGTGTCCCATAAAACTACTCTCAGCCTCATTGATAACACTTCAGCTAAACTTTTATACAAGTGACTAAACTAATGGAATGAAAGTCACTAATCTTAATGGGCTTATCTTTCTTGGTGATCAATTAGATGAAAGTAGCATTGGTAAAGAGTCCATGATGTATGCTATCTCCAAGCATGTATTTATTAACAATTCCACAAAATCAAAATTACATGGTTTTTTTTTTCTTTAATTAACTTGAAATTCTCAAACTTCTTCAGAAGAGGTTATAGATCCGCTGTCATTTTGTTTTGGCCCAAAGACAACATGAGAGGTCCTTGGCATCAAAAACACTTAACTGAGACATTTATGAATGAGGTTCTGACCATCCAACCATGAGAGGAATTTCTTAGCTAAGAGAAATAAACAAGGTCAAAAGCCTTGGGCTCAACCAAAGTTTGAGAAGCTCATTTCTTTCAAATGTGATAAGCATAGCCCTAATTTTTTCCATCGTAATTGCTCCATCTCAAATGCCACAGTGCCATTGAAAATCTTGCTGGTACACTTCAAATTGCAAGGTCAAAAGCCTTGGGCTCAACAAAAGTTAGAGAAGCTCATTTCTTTCAAATGTGATAAGCATAACCATAATTTTTTCCATCGTTATTGCTCCCTCTCAAATACCACAGTGCCATTGAAAATCTTGATGGTATACTTCAAATTCCAATCATATGGTTCACAAAATAAATCATTTGAACTCAACAATTTATGAAATGAAATCAGGAATTCAACTCCATATGTAGCAGCTTTTTAAACCAAAACTGTTCAAGTACAACAAACCAAACTATAAATGGACCACCCCAAAACAACTGACATTAATGAGTGATCAAAAATATCCTAAATGTAGAAGTGTTTCTAGAATTGAGTAATCATACTGTCCAATATAATATTGTGCAACTGATTTAGCTACTTCTATTCAAATCAATCACAGGGACAATGGGTTAAGTTTGTCAGACCCACATCTGAATCCCTGATATAGAATAACCCAAAGATCTCATGAATATATATGGTTACAGAGAAATTTTCAAGTGTTAATCCAACTAAGATCTATCAAAAGCAGCAGCTGCAACAGCTGATTATTACATAGCCACACTACACACCACAAAAGAAATTCAACACTAAAAAGAGTTAGAAAGAAGTATGGACCCCTACCTTAGGCTGAAGATTGGTTATTGTGGACCTCAGCACGTTATCTCCAACTATCAACCTCAACTTTTGAACAAAATCATTCCGAGTGATCTTCTTCATCTGGCAAATACCAGTGGGGGAATTGAACAAAAAGAGCGAAAAAACATAAGGAACATCCAATCTAAAGATGAAATACTCACCAAAAAAAATCTAAAGATGAAACAGAAGTTAACAGGTAACATTCACTGGACATACCCTGAACAACTCATAATTAGTTTCAACTAGTTTCATGTCTTTCGGAGGGACCTTGTTTGAGATGGCTGCAAACAACATTGGGAAAGGCATCCAAGGGGACCTAGGAATCTTTGTAGTGCTTAAACCCAGATTAACAGCATTCCCTTGAGGCCTCTCAACGGGAACCTGATGGCAATTAAATCCCTAGAAAATAAACAAAATGTTAAAGGAAAAGGAAATTCCTGCAGATACAACATCAATCCTAACAGCTCCAAATATAAACAATCAATAAATGAACTGAATGTCAGGGCCAAGTCACACTAAGCTGTTTAAAGCACAAGACAATATCTCAGCTGGGCAGACCATGGCCCAAGAACAAGTCCTCTCTAAACTATTAATCAGCATAAGAGAGTTGAGCCAAGAATATTTTACTTCAACCACAGAACTTTTGGCCAGCGAAAAATGGTCAAGACTAGTCGCATTTTGATGGAATAAATAAACATAACAGATTCAGCGACAAGATAAAACCAAAATTAACAATAAGAAGCTTAACTTAATAGCAACATATACATATATCTAGCAACTTACAAACCACCCCTACCAGGGTCAAACTACAAGAGATTCTAGCTGTGAAAACCCAGATCATTCATGGCATCAGTTAATTTTATTTACTTTCAAGTCAATAAAATAATATAAAAATTAATCAGAAAATATATAAACAGATTTCAACAAATTGAGTGTGTACTTACTAATTGAGCTGGAGATGAATCTAACCATAACTGGACCCGGGACTCTGGAGAACAAGTAGTGACTCCCAAAATATCGAGGTTGTTCTCATTTCTAACCAGAAAACCTGTATAAAAATAGCAAGTAGTGCAAGGTGATTGAAAGTTTCAAAGAAAGTCAATAAACATGTATACAATGCCAAACAAAAAAAGGATAAACCCTCTACAAAGACAGGCCATATCTCTTTAATGTAATTAAGTCCATTAGCCTGAACTTTTACGTTGTTTTAATGAGACTGTACGGCAGAGATCAACTGACTGGCCGCAGACTATCCAAATTTGTTATTAGTAATACAAATCAATTTACTGAATAGCATATATATATATATGGCAAGTGCAATATTAGCAACAACAAAAAAAATGCATAGGCCATTGGACAAACGAAAAACTTAAGGGGTAAAATCACCTTCAGCATCAGAAGACACCTTGAAACTAACAGCGTATTCTGGGTAAATATGAGCATTCTTCTTCATATTCCATACTATGTAATGTCTTGGATTTTGAAGATCATCAACTCCACTATCAAAGTGCTCACTACTGGGATGGAACTGTTTAGATCCTGCATGAACAAGCTCCATGTTTCCCATTATTACACGACAAAACACCATGTGTCGCACCCCATTTTCGTCAACATCACAATAACTTGCACTGTAAAAAAATCCCATTTTCATCAACTTACAATAACTTGAACAAGTAATATTAAAAACAAACATTTTAAGAATAAAAATGGATACCATAAAACAGTGGCATCACAAACGAAAAACTAAAAAAAATAACATTAAAAATAATAATAATAATAATTAGAGATCTCACTAGTTAGTACTACTGGTATCACATTAAATAATTCAAACGCTCAAACAAATCCATTAGGTTGGTCACATCCAGCTCTATTTTTAAGTTTTCAAACTACCAAAACAAAAACTTTAACGACAAAAACCCACTATTTCTCCACAAGGAAATGACAGCAAGGCCTTGGCCATGTTACATACACTCATGCAAAGAAGAAGAAAAAAAGTGTGGGCAGCCATGGCCTCTCATTGCCAACTCTACCTCTGAACAAAGATCCCAATGAACCACGCGCAAATTACAATGAACTATTGCCAATTCATGCATAAGAGTTAACTAAATCTAATTGACGGATTTATTTGAACCAGCTAAAATTGAAGACCAACTTCCTTCCAGACAAAGATGCACCAGCTATACCAATGTAATATATCATTATATGAACCTTAATATATACAATCTTCTGAAAAAATAATAGTCATGACAATGTGTACATACAAGTTATGGTAGCTTAACTGTTTAATCCAAATGGATCCCAGTGGCAAAAGAGGCATTACTTGATAAAATGTACCCCTCGGTTAGATAAATTGTAGTTTTATCACTGGAGGTAGTAATTCCCCAAGGGAAGAGAAACTCAATCTCCATTCCAACATATTATGTCAACAGTTTTCAAACGTTCATACCAGCTTCTGTAGTTCAAAATAAATTTATAGATAGGACAATTATACTCTGACCTGGTAATAGTGCAATTTGCAGGTGAAAGATGAACACCAATGCCATATGCAGTTTTAATTTCAGATGTTCCATAATGCCCAAGCCCGTAATTCATGATACTAGACAGCAATCCTTTAGTAGAAGGAAGCCAAGCATATCGAACATTTGCATCCCCACGATATTTTTTGGTGATTTCAACCTGCTTGTGGAACTGCTCCAATTGAGCTTGCATCAAAGTACTCGAGCCTTGATATAGGTCAACAATGTCTGCAATAGAAGATGAACCCATACCCATGAAAAATATTTTCCTTACAATGTCAGATTCCATAGCTCCGTGTATAGCATCAATACTGGCAACCAGGTTTTTCTCTATCTGTTGATTTCCCCCAACGGCTGCATCAACTTTTGTATCAGATGCTCTCACACAACTATCCTCAACTTCTGCATCGCAATGGTCACTGGTGGGATTCTCATCAACTTGAATTTGCTTAACAAGCGCATTTGACTCTCCACTATATTCCTTGAATTTAGAAAAATCTGATCCATTCACTTCGATCTCAAGCTGCAGCCTGATATCCTGGTAGCCATGAGGCTCTGAAAACAGATGCTCCTGATCTTTCTCAAAGTCATGGCGGCAGCACTCATGGAGTTCGTCATCGCCAGAAAAGTTTTCTGGAAAGAAACATTTACCTGTTTCATCAATCCAAGAAATAGGCTGCTGTGAACCCGTCTTCAAGTCCAATCTCATCATATGCAGAAAATCTAGGACAACAGGATGACCATTAAACTCCACCTCAGTGACTGCCTTCTTCACCTGAAAATCTTTCTTAATCAAACCAACAAAATCCTGAGGAAAATCACTCCATTCGCCATTCTGATAAAACATCAAACGTTGCGGGATCCCACTTTGTATAAAATTGGAATAATATTGAAGTAAAGATTTTTTTAATTGAGAAGCACAGCAACCACATTTGCTTTTGGATCCATCCAATTTCTTCCGCTTGCCAAGTTTATGAATGGAAGAATTCAAGGTGGCCCGCTTTGATAACACGTTGCGGGCTGTGCTGGTGAAATATGCTTCGCATCGGGCTGCCCGCTTTCTCTTCAAGTCAACCACAACTCTACGGCGACTATCCAATACCTTTGCGAACTTCATTTCCATTTCTACCCACAGGATCAATCCCTATCCACAGATATAAATCCAAAAGTTCAAATTTAACAGTAATATACGACTTAGTCTTGGCAATATCTCAGAGAAACCGAGCCATTGATGACAATTGGCAAACCCTGTGCAATAACATCCACTCAATTAAAAATATAATCAGACAAAATACATTGAACTATTTCTATAAATAAATTATTTTTTGATATATGATATACACTTTATAAGTTTTAATAATATAATATGCTAGACAAAAATGTGCATCATGCCATTACAAAACATCAGACAGCAGCCAAGAAAAAAAGTTTAGGATAACTGCATGCTCACTGTGTTAGAAAACAAACTAATAACCCAAATGAGATCATGCAAGATAGTAGAAATTAAATGGTCCATAAATGACGGGGGTAGTAAAATAGAGCAGAATGGGAACACTGGCACTTAGGCAGTGGTAGTATGTGAGGGTAAAGGAAAATGGAAGTAGCATTGTAGCATAAGCAGTTCTAGAGGTAGTAATCCTCTCAAATAGAATAACCCGGGGGTATAGTGGTGGGGTGATTTTGGAATATAAAACCTTAGAATTCTTTGTGGTGTACTCTACATACATGAATTTCTAGGAGTTTTCTACATTAAAGATTGTTTTGGATTTTTTTAATATTTCTCACAAAATGCAATCAACGTTAAAGAAATACTAATTCATTGATGTGCCTCCAATGTATCCATAACCCATTCTTTGTTCTCCATATCAATGTGCATGTATAGTATGTATAAATATCCCATGTATGGGCTAAAAAACAAAAACATAACAGAAATGATAGCATATAAATTTAAAGAATATATACACAAATACAATAACATACGCTGAAGGAAGAGGGCATTAACATTAAGACACTAAAAAATTGCATAAAAGATGCATGGAAAATAGTGTTTATTCAATAAATACTCCTAATTACTGGAAATGCAGCCTCTACATTTAAGGCCTTTAGAAACCTTAAATGGGGGATCCTTTATGTCCTTTCTTATACACTATGGTGGTGAATGTTTTGGCAAGAATGGTTCATAAAACCAAAAATTTAGGTTTAGAGGTAGGTTTTTTAGTTGGGAAGGATAATGTTTGTGTCTCATTTACAGTTTATAGATGACACCATATTTTTTTCCTTCAACTGAAGAGAATAGAATGGTCCATTGTGGGTATCAATTATCCTCCAAATAGTAAAATAGGTTAGGCTACATTGCTAGGGTGTCCTATTGAATCTTTACCTCTCAAAGTATTTAGGGTTACCTTTAGAAGACAATCCAAAGTGTGATGATATTCAGGATCCCGTCATGTTAAGATTGGAGGAAAAAAAATGAAGGAAATTGATTTTTAAGGGAGGAAAATACACTTCGGTGTTGGGCAGTGTGAATCATGATAAGTACTGGACACTAATCACGCGACCACGAATCTAACTGGAGTGGCAACCACCTTTGTATCTCATTTGTAAGTCTTTCTGATCATAAAGAAACCACAGTAACTGTGGATGTAACCCTAGTTTTGGGATGAACCACGTAAATCTTGTGTCTTCGTGCGTGTGTGTGAGATTTACAATTCTTATTTATTGTTTTTCTCTACTTTTCGTATCTCTTCAACCCTAATTAGGTGTTCCACAATTTCTAACATTTAGTTTAATCAATCTTGGCTAGTGTTCTTGTTTAGTTCTAATCAATGTTTAAGATTCCACTTAGGATGGCAAACAGAATTGAAAAGGTGACGAGAGATTTTTTGCGGGAAAGTTGTGATGAGATGAAGAAATATCATTTAGTTAGTTGTAAAAGGAGTCCAACCATTGGAAATATAATTGTTAAAAATAAGCTATTGCTAGGTAAACGACTACGGAGATTCCCGATTGACCGACAGGCATTTTGTGATTAATAGAAAATATGAGACTCAACAGAATGGATGCGATTCTCACGTAATTTTCAGGGCAAATGTTAAATCTCCAAGGAAGTGCATTACTCAAGGATTTGACATTTTTTCATATTTCATATTTCATTCATCTTAAGGTAGGGAATGGAGAGAACATCGGATACAAAAATTACAATAGTAAGGAAAAGTGTCCCTACTTTCTCCTCTTTAAAGCATTTTCAAGGGTAGCATGGGAAATTTATTGAGGGTGTGGAAACATCTAATCATAAGCTCAAGAAAATGCTTATGTTACTTGTTTTAATGGTTGTTACCATTGTTACTTCTGTCATTTTTAAGGCAACTTGTGTTCAAATCAAGGGATTTTGCTCCTTTCACTTCTAATTAGCATTTCTTTATCTTATGTGGTTGCCTTTTGCTTTTGTATACCCCATGGGCACATTTGTAGTACCCTTTGTTGCTTTCATTTATTAAGAAATAGATGGATGTGTGTGTGCATTGGCACTGTCAACAATCGAAGTATCACATATTATATTACAAGAGATTTAATCTCAAATTCTCACCCAAAGCAGGCTATTACATTCAAATATTGCAGCAACATAAATAATCAATTTGTAAATGGTTGCAGCCAATTTAAAATCTATACACTCTGCAAGGTCCTTCAAGTTCCAAATTGATATTGTAAACACCTAACTGGCACTCATGCTCATTGAAGTCAATAAGAAATTCCAAACCTTTGTTTCTTCTTTGAAAGGACTATACTTTCACATATGAAAATTGTCCAATTGCACAGCATGGCAAGGAAAACACACAACACTTGCACCGGTCCCTCTCCCTTTTATCCCATTCATGTCCACTTTCACTTTCTTCAAAATCAATCTTTGGTTCATCATTATGTCTCCGGCCCATCAAGACCATTACTCATTTGTGCCCACAACCTAATGAACTAACACAATAGATAATCATAAGATTTGAGTAGACAATAGGTTCTAGCTAATCCTAACAAACCACTTTGCTCAAATTCTAAATCAAAAGTCAACTTAAAATTCTATGTACATCTTGCATTCAGGAACTTTAGCAAGTACAAAACAGCTCTATGTCTTAAGAACTTATTGAAACTAATAAGTCCAAAGGTTCCATTAATGGTAAGAGAGACACCACTCTCTCTCAAGAATGTATTGTCCAAAAAGAAATTATGGCAGCACAAACCACAAACCCCATGGGCCAGCCCATATCTTCAACTTCTGGTAAGTTAACCTCATTAGTTGTGAGAACTATGGTCTATTAGTCAACTATGCTAGCTCATTATTTCCTGACAATACAAAACTTGTGCATTCAAAGCCAATGTAATTCCAGAAATCAACTGGATCCAAATAATCTATAATAATGATGGGAACCAATGTTGTTAAAGTGTCAACATAAGCAATAAAGGTAACAACAATTCATGATGCATACCAATAAATATCATCTTTGTATAAAAAATTTACAAAAATGTCTTATGCCTTTCATTATAAAAAATTTACAATACAAGTTAAACTTCAGGACCAATTATTTGCGACCACCACACAATTTCTCGTTCCTTCTGCATGTCTCTCTCTCTCCCCCCCTCCAATTTTGGTTCTAATCAGTACACATATCCCACAAGAGGAGCAGCTAGTGGATGTAATTTTTGAAAATTTGGGAATCTAGATTTAATTATAGACTGAGATTGAAGGTGTTTGGCAAACCAACACTGAGATTTAATTGTTCTTCGTCATTGACTCCATTCTAGGATTTATTTTTTATTCTTTATTTTTCTTAATGCTGATGTATGGGTAAGGACTAGCTGGAAGATTGGAACTTTTGGGGTGTTAGTGCATAGGACATGGTAATGGACTAGTCAAACCTCTTTTGAAGAAAGGAATCAAGCTCGCAACATTTGTTTGTGGGCTTTGGGATTAACTAACACAAGGAATTTTATAGCAGGTGCCAGCATAGATTTGTACCCATGGTATATGTCCTGAAACTGAACATCTAATGCATAAATGCATCAGTTTTGCCAAAGAAATGTCTTCTAAATATGTGTTCCTTTTCTTTTTTTTCTCTTTTCTTTTCATGATATACACTAGAATACATTCTTCCATAGGGAAAAAAATGAAATGGATACACAACTAGCTACGTGATTTGACGACTGGAAGATAATCAATCGATAAATCTTACCAGAAATATGCCCAGGGTCATGTGGGCAGCTTCTAATCACACAAGCAAGAACCATAGAATTTATAAGCACAAATCAAGCATGTTTTACATTCTAGTAAAATGACAAATGTGTCAATAAAAGAAGGGGAGGTAAACCAGTCAACAAGAGTAACGTTGAATCATGACAGCTAATACACTAAAACACCCTTCAAAGCATATAGAATACAAGAATGAATATGAAAAAACTTATGCTACTGAAGCAACAACTAAATAACCCATGATGCTGCACAGCTGTACAGAATATGAATGAGGTTTGAACAGATGGAAACAATAAAGGATACTATTGATGATCTCAATTATATGGGATGTTACAAGAACAGTTACAGGCGAATGGCACCTCCAAGGCTTTGAAAATTCATGCAAAGCACTCCACTAACAGACTAAGATATCTCAGAAAATGCCAATCTGGTACCCCAAAAAAAATACCCAAAACAAAAAAGAAAGAGGAAAATTAAAAAGCTAATAACTTACAAATCATGCTATTTGCACCCACTCTCCAAAATTTCTCCCCACCTATTTTTCTTTAAACCCCCACCATATTCCCAACTCCACCCCTTTCTTTGCACCACACCCCTTGCACCTCTTCCTCTGGAAACCCCCTTCCCCACTTCCACCCACCGCCTTCTCCACCTCAGCCACCCACAGCCCCCCTTCACCAATCCTCCTCTGCCACCGCACAGCCCCTTCCCAGCACCCCCGCCACACCTCAACCCTTCCCACCAACACCCTCTCCCCCATGAACCACTGTGTCTGTGACCCGCATCCCTTCTGACTCTCATAAGCAATCCCCTCTCCCTCTCTCTCTCTCTCTCTCTCTCTCTCTCTGTGTCAGTCAGAGTCATAGGAGTGGGAATTGTGAGGGTTGGGGGCCGTGGGGGTTGCAAGGGTGACGGCGTTGTGAGCGTAGCAAGCAAGGATGGCAGGATAGTTGTGCTGCAATGGCGGTGAGGCTGGGGAATGGCTAAGGGAAGCTGGAGGAGGGACAGGGTTGGTGAGGAGAGGCGGGGAGTAGGGTGGCGGCTGGAGCTGGTGGTGGCTGGAGGGTGAGGTTAGGGAGGATAGGTATAGAGACAAACTTAATATTTAAATGTTAGGGTAAAATTATAATTTTTTTTTTCCTAAATGAAAGGTGTAAAATTAGCAGCACTCTTAACTTATAGGCTGCTCAACATGATTTCTGTGTTTAAAAAATCACATTCACTGAAAATTCCCTTGGAAACACAAATTCGGAATACACCATGGGGTTAGACAATAAGTCAGAAGGCAAAAAAGTAGCACTTCCACTACATAAGCCCACCAAAAGAACGTAAATTTAAGCACTATATAAGTTCTTCAACACACAATTTCTTCACAAAAAATACATATCATAATAGGCCCAATCACAGCGAAGACAAATAAAAGCTGTATTCAATCCAAAGAAGAAATTTTTGAAGTTCTAAATAGTTGATAAGCGCTAAATTCAACATTGTTGCGCAATTATCGATGAAACATTCTCAGAAATATAGAAAAGAACAGGGATTTGTGGAGCGCTGACCTTTGAATTTAGAGAAAGATTGGAGAGAGAAAACAACCTAGAGAGAGAGAGGAGGGTACCTGGATCGAAGAGAGGGAGGGAGAGAGAAGAGTCGACAGATGATTAGCCTTGGCCTTGTTCTTGTTCTTGTTCTTGTTCTTCTTCGTCTTCCTTCTTTTCTTTCCTCAAATCTTCTGATGCAGTCGTGTTTCAAAACCCTAGGTCGGCCTAACAATCAAAAACCAGCATGGAACCGCCTTTCCTTTTTTTTTTTTTTCTTTTTCTTTTTTTTCCCCCTTTTTTTTCTTGGATGATGGATTAGAGTTGAGAGATCTCTCACTTAACTTCTTACTTGCAGGGTCGGTCGGCCAATTTTTGGGCTCAATTTTAATGATCCGATTTATTCATATTTTAAAATATATTAAGTTTTATTATATTTGTAAAAAATTAAGTTATTTAAATATCAGAAAATATGTGTCTGTTTATTAAATTTTTTTCTAAAAATGGTTTGTAGTTCAATGATCCGAACACGTAGTTTCTGATATTTGATGAACTTAATTTTTTACAAGTATAATATATTCGACAAATCTTAAAATATAAACGGTTCGAATTATCAACGCCCAAAAATAGGCCCAATAACCCAAAAGTGATGAGGTAATGAGAGAAATCAATAAGGGATTTGGACTCGATAAATTAGGCCCTATAGTATCTTTAAGATTTTGATAAATTACAAATCGGCCTCTAAAATTTGTTTAAAATAATTTTAAAAATTACATTTCGCCTTTAAAATTTTGAATTTCCTAACAAATGTCACTTTTAATTAATAAATCAAAAAATCAATTAATAATTTTTAATGATATCATAAATTTATTTTAAATAATAATTCAGATAATTTTATTATTGTATATAATAATTATTAATTTTACTTTTTCAATAAATTTTGTGACAATCAAATATTTATAATTTTCAAATCATAGTGAATAATATATATTTTAAGTAAACTTTAAAGAGTATTTGTAATTTACCCTTAAGGTTTTGATAGAATTTGGTAGTATTTTAAAAAACAAATAGGGGTATTTGAGTCAATTAAGTTTGGATAAATTATAAATACATTTTTGAGATTTGATTAAAATATAAATTGTTCCATGTAATTTTGGCAATTATATTTCATTTCTTAAGTTTTCTAATTTCATAACAAATCGCTCATTTTATAAACAAATTATCAAATCAATTAATAATTTTTAATTCGAAATAAATTTCAATTAATAATTTAAATAATTTAAATAATTTTATTATTATATAGGAGGGTAATTATAAATTTTATTTTTTTAATTAATTCTATTAAATAATAAATTCTAACAAGAAAATATTTATAATTTTTAAAATTATAAAAAAAATAATCTATATTTTAAATAAATCTCATAAAATGTATTTATAATTTACCTATTAAGTTTTTAATAATGGAGATAAATAATTGGGAGCAAGACCGGACCCATTCCGGACGGAACACGAACCTGCCTTGATTCGCTGTGCGAAGTTGCACATTTTGTCTTTATATTGTTTGGCGTATGTTATATAAGTAATTTTTTATTTTTTTATTTTTTTTAAGTCATATTATTGCTTTGTTTTTTTATATATTTTTTATTAAATGTCAAAAAGTATATTTATTTAAATCATTCCAAACAATTTGAATATGAGTTCTTTTTTAGTTTTTAAATTCTTAAGTTTTTTAGTTATTTTAAGCTTTGTTTAGCAATTTAATATTTTAGTTTAAAAGTTAAAAAAATATTTAAAAAATTAAAAATTTAACAATCTATACTAAAAAGTCAAAGATTTTTTTTTCTATTTTTTGCACATATTTTCATAAAAAATAAAAAAATATTCAAAACATATTTTTTTTACCTCATTTACCTCATATTTTAGCCAAAAAAATTAAAAGTTTCTAAAATAAACTATTCTCAAACGATGTTTTAGTCTAAGGTTAAAAAAACCTCATTTGAAATAGACTCTCTTTTTTTTAACTTTTTGTGAGAAAAAAAATAAAATTATTATGATTTAGATGTGACATTTTTTAGCCTAAAATCAAAAAGTTTATTTTGTCTTTTTATGACTATTTTAACCTCCCAACTCACCCCACCCATCATGCCAAACCAATATGTAGTCGGGTCTGCATTTGGGTGATTCTATTTACACATCATCAAATCTTTTAGTACACATCATTTCTCAATACACACCACACACATTTCAATTTTTTGATTTCTTCTCACTTCACACCATCATTTTTCAAAAAATCTTAGCCTGCGTTTGGTTGTGTTTTGTAAATGTGATTTGAGAGTATGAGTTGTATTTTGAGTTTGTGAGTTGTAGGATTATGATTTGAGTGCAGAAAATTTGTTTGGTTATGGTTTTTAAATAGAGTGTTGAATTGTGTTTTGAAGATGTATTTTGAATTAAGTTTTGAAAGTTTGATGTGACATGTGAAATGTGAAAATTTGTTTGGTGATGTGTTTTGAAAATAGTTTTCAAAACTTAATTCAACCAATAATTTATCATCAAACACACAACTCATATATCGATATCAATATTTTTTATCAACAATAATAACCAAACTATTTTTAAAATACTGAAATTAAAAATTGATTTTTTTGTCAATTAATTTTTTATTTTGTAATTTTTTTGAATAATTGTTTTTTCGAAATAATTTTTTCTAAAATAAACCTATGTCAATTATTTTCTGCCAATTAATTTTTCTATCAATTCATTTGTAAAATACGTTTTTAATTTTTTTCTAACATTTTGTTAAAGTCAACAACTTTTGAAATACATATTAATAAAGAAGGAATAAATACACTAAATTTCATATTTTAAAATACAAATCATAACGTAAATCTTACAAAATATTATTAATTTTTTTTCCATTTATTACATGTCATGAATTTCATCCATACGTGGCAACAGAAATGCAATGCATTATTGTACCTGTTGAGCTCATATAATTGTGGGATTGACATACAAAATGACTATTATGCCCCTCTTGACTTAAATAGAAAGTGATTACATAGAACAAAATATAAAGGATAAGATAGTAATTTCACTTACTTATTACCTACCCCCTATTGTTTCATAGCTGTGTGTTCAACACTGAGGTAAAGAAAAATGAGAGGCTCCAGCTGTGTACTCAGTACACGGATGTGATATATATATAAAAAGTAATAATATTAAAATCAAATAATATTTAACAAATAAAAAAAAATTCCAAACTGAACCTTTTGAACCTCACCATTTCTATTAAATCTGAATCTCATTCCGTTTACCACACCAATTTCACCATCTCAGAAACACCTTCTCCAGTTACATCAGAAAACAAAAATTAGAGAAATAGAAGCATATCCACCATCTCATTAGGTCCTCCTTCTCCACTTCCATAATTTACAGGTTAGTTTTGATGCCAGTTCATCTTCATATTAGCTTCAGATATTAGCTTCAGACATTAGCTTTAGAGGAAGTGAGGGAGGGAAGAGGAGGACAACCGGCCGGTCATCACACGGGACATCCGGCCGGTCATCCTGGCCCAGTCACCATTCCACCTCCGTATCTGTTCGCTTTGTTTCATATCTGTTCCATTTTCATCTGTTATATTTTCTGATTTATGTTCTAATTTTGTCACACTATCATTTATTTTTCTGACTATCAATTTCTGAGTTATAATAAACTGAATGAAACAAACCCAATATAAATGAGAAATATCATTCGTATGGTTTTTTTTATATATAAAAATATGTTTCTATGGCATCTGCCTACTTAAATTTTGTCACAAATTTTTTTATATTTATTTTTTACGTAAAAATAAGTTTGTATGCACAAAAATGTACTAATGGTTGATATATTTTTCATACATATTTTTTACCTCTCATATGTTTTAATATACAATTTTCTTTCACTTTTACAGTCATCATGCCAAGAACAATCATGCCAAGAACAAAACGAACCAGGCCCGAACTTTGTGCATCCTTAAACCCTGTACCACCACCACAGCCACAACATGATGGCTATCCAACTAATGATTTTGCAACATATCATTATGAACAAGCCTATGAACATTTCATTACTCGACCAATTATTACGGGGAGAAACGTAAAACTATCTTCTAAATATGATTCACTCTTACTTGGCAAATTAGATACAATGGGATGGTTACCATTAAATAATTTGCCAAAATAAGATATATCCCCGTCTTCTATGATTATTTTATGTTCACTTGACAATGGGTGACCAACAAAATGAACCGTTTTATTTTATGTTCACTTGACAATGGGTGACCAACAAAATGAACCGTTTAGTCTTACCTCTTATGTTAAGGGGAAAAGAATCACACTCTCTCTCTCTCGTTTTGCACAAATTATTGGAGTCGAAACAGAAGATTTACAATGTTATTTTCAAAATGAGGCCGCATTAGAAAAAATTGTTGATGATGTCACTCAGATTTATATCACAATTTATGACAACCGATTTAGCGACACTAATTTACAAGTCAGTCATTTAAAGCCTCACCTTCGTATTCTCCACCGATGGATAGTTGAAAATAACTGATTGATGAAAGGTTCAAACAGTTCAAACTATTAACGAAGAAATAGAAAACCGGAAGACAAGGTGGGAGGACCAGGTGGTTGACCGGCTGGTCGACCGGCCGGGTGTCCCAGGCACTGCCGCTTCAGGTTCAAAGGTTCAAACAGCTCATAGGCCCCGTTTGGTGTAGCTGTTAAAACAGCTTATAGATTATAACTTAACAGATTATAGATTATGACTTTAATCAGAAGTTGTTAATCTGTTTGGTGTAACTGTTAGATTATAGATTGAAGTTGCTGAGTAGTATTTGTTAAATAAGCTGTAAAATAGTTTTTTCAATTAATTTTTATTTTTTAGTTGTCTACATTTCTCATAAAAAATAATAATAATAATCTATAGTCCATTTGAGTCTTTTTATATTTTTTAAAAAATAAAAAATAAAAAAATTTAAGAGTATAACCATAAATTAACATGTCCACAGCAGAAGCTGATAATCAGAAGTAAGGGGTGAGCAGCTCGTCAGAATCAGTTTTTTTGAGTTAAAATAAGCTGTTAGAATCATAAGCTGTTTGAAATAAGTTTAACCAAACAGTCTAAAATAAATTTTTCAAAGCTAAAAGCCATAAGTTGACTCTGAAAAGCTGAAACAAACACCCCTATAATTTAAAAGAACAACCGATCTGAAATGGAAAATATGCCTCTACAAATTCTCATAAACCATTTAGGAACTGATTTCAACTTCTCCGAAATC